AACTTGTGGTGACCACAGGGCTCCCTTCTATACAACCAGTTGCTGTGAACCTGCCCACAACACACAACCATTCCACCTACTGGCCCAGCCTGTCTCCCTGGTCTGGTCCCTCCTGACCCATTTCATCCCATCAACGCTTCTGTCAACACCGATGCTCCTTCTTCCTGACGTGCAACCTCACCAGACTTTCACAGTGTTGCTTACACATGCCAATATTCTAATGTGGGACCATGACCTTATGCCTCCTAAGTGAAATTGAACTCTAATCTGTGCCTGCTGCCTCCCCTCCCCTGCCTGCCCATCTCCCAAGAACCCAATGAATCTGCATAATAGTTCTGTGTTCAACACTTCACTTCCTTGCTCAAACTTTCACTGGATATATCATGTCCAAAGTAGGGGTCTCTGATCTCATGATGTCCAGATGACCAGGGCTTCTGGAAATGAAATCCCTAGGCTGGAAATAAAGCACAGGGGTATTTGCTAAAAGTATACAGACATGAATAAACGGTGGGCTTCTCATTCAATAATATTCTGGGAACCACACTCCTTTTAGCAAAGTCTAGACATACAGGCATTATTTCATCACTAGACTTTGCCTTGGCTGGGAGGAGGGTCCCACTTCTGGAATTTGCATGGCCTCCGGCACCTGAGTTGCCTCCATGTGCAAACTTCACATCATTGTGCAAGGGGCTGTCCCAAAAAAGGAAGGGGCAATTCTCCTCAGTAGAAGACATGCTGTTTTTGATTGGCGGCATTGTTAGCTTGGGAGAACCACACCTCTATGTGATCTTCACAGAACTGTCCATCACGATGCTCCTACCAGCCTCCTCCTCCCCACTTCACCACCAGCACCACATACACACAGCACTGGGCACGTGATCCACTCTCTGATAGATGCAGAGACTGATTTAATGACCACCGAAGCAGGGTCAGAGCCCTTCCAGGAGATTTCTGTAAACAAGATCTGGAAGAGACAAGATCTCTCTTTCTTACTGCTCAAAAGCCCAAGAACGCAGGCTTGGAAGTACCGACAGTTGCCTTTCTCAGCACATGGAAAGGGGCCTCAGAGTGAAGCTGACCCAAAGAGAAAAGGAGCTGAGAAATGGGGACAGAGAGAAAGAACCCTGACAAAGTCGTGTGAGTCTCTGGGTTCCAGCCACAACCGAAGCAAGGTCAACCTTTGGACTTTCCAGTCACATGAGCCAATAAGTCCTTTTGTGGGGGGAGGGGGAGGAGCGGGACTTGTCCACCCTTGGTGTATTTAAGGCTCTGGGCGGAGTGACAGGGTGCTGCAGGAGGGAATGTATAGATCCACATCTTTACACCTTGCTCAGCTCACATTCCAATGAGTCATGTGTCATTTCACCTCTGGGGACAAAGTTTCCAAAGCACAACTCGCTACTGGGACATACCCCATTAATTAACAGTGCAATGGCCCCAGAATCCTCACCTTTATATGGGAATTTCCTTTCTCCAGCTGCACTCAGAGCTCTTGGAAGAGTCTTATCAATGATTCTGTAATAGTCAAATCCCCAGAATTCCTGCTGAGGAAGGGGAGGGAGGTGAGGCAAGGAGGAAGCACAGAATAGAGTAATCAGACTAAACATCAACGAGCAGAATTCAAGACATTTCAGGAGGTCTCCATCTCAAAATTGGAGACTCTCATCTTTCAGAATGTAACCCAAATTTTTACCCAGATTTGAACCTCCACTAAAATCTGACACCAATCTTATCTCTCTCCCCCACTTACACAGGGTTTCCAGAGTGTGGTGCAGCTTCTCCTGTCTCCACAAATCCTGCAGAGAGGCAATGGAGCACACTAGGGCAAACGTGCTCTGCAGTATTAGTCCTGGCCTCATCACCTTCCTGCTCTAATTACCTCTTCAAGTGGTTATGAAAAATCAATTGCCATTATTTATGAAAATTTATCAAAAACCATCAAGTACTAAGTGACAGTTGGTATGTATTCTCTTATGATGTATTGTGAACTCAGATAATCCATGATGGGCCACACGCCCCATGTCAGATCTCTTTTACCTCCTATTAGCATCATATGATCCTTCCCTACATCCGGCACAGCCTCCAGCCTGTCTGCCCCAACCCAAACTCTACTAACCACACCCCCCACACTACATTCTGATTTCTCCCTCTCCTTAATTCCACCAGAACTCATCATGCAGCATTTTAAAAAGAGGATGGGAAGATTAGTCCAAAGCCCTAGATCTGTTGATGAGGGCACAGAGGCCCAGAAAGGCCAAGGAACGTATCCAGGGCCATGTAATCAGTGGCTCAGTCAGACTGACAAGTCTGGTTTCCCAACTCTTCACCCAGTGCCCTTTGCAACCCCCCATACTGCTCCCCAGTGTACACCAGTCCCCTGATGCTCAACGACCGCCCCAGGTGCTCAGTGAGCTGCGGCACACTGTCCAGTCCCCTCCCCACAGCCTGTGAGCTCCCACAGGAGAGGCTACCTTGCCGTCCATCGGCTAGCACGTCACCACAAGCGTTCATCCATGTCCTCCGAGTGCCTGGGCACATGTTAGACCTTAGTAGACAAGCATATCTTAAGTCCTGATGGGTACTCTTGATAAAACTGCAAATCATATATTCCTAATAAAATGAAGACTCCACGCACTGCAGATTTGTTTTTTCCATCATTACACAAGTTCTTATTCCAGATGTGTTTTGCTTGACGAATCTCCCCATGCTGTCATCTATTTAGGGAGAGTAACACTAAAGGAAATTTATTTTAAAACTGCCTCCTCTTTCAGACTCTACATTTTACTTGATAAGTAATATGCATTACCATGAGGACTTGTTATTTTACCTTCTACTAATTTTGCTTAAGAAACCTAAAAAGTGACATCTGCTTTTATCTTTGTTCTCATCTATTTTCCCAAGCTAAATATGAATTTCTTTTCCTGTAAGCTGAGAATCATTGTGGGAATGAGAGAATTTAAACAATCAGCTCAGATTCACTCCCGCTATATGTCAGAAGTTATCTTTCTCGCCCAATGAGCTGTTGTCAAAATTCTGAAACCACACAAGTCTAACGATGGCAGTCTAACTCTTGGAGCTTCACTAAAAATTCCTCCAAGTTAAAAGGACAAGTGCAGCCATCCCTCTTCACAATGATGTTTCCTGAAGAATCCCTTCTGATAACCGGTGCCTTTGGGACCCGACTCAGAAGCAACAGGTAAAACCTTTCTGTGCCAACTGCCTGGAAACTGCACACAGAGATTTCCCATGCAACCACTCTCTCTCCTCCGCTGAAGGCTTCCCCAGCCTAGGATACAAAGCTAATTATAACCAGAGTTACAAATTGCAGCTAAATCATCTCATAATTATGAGCTCTCTAGTAGGACTTCGTTAGAGAAAACCATTCCTAACACTTCAGTATATGTGGGTGTATATATATATATATATATATATACACACACACACATATATTTTTTGTTTTTGTGAGGAAGATCAGCCCTGAGCTAACATCCACGCCAATCCTCCTCTTTTTGCTGAGGAAGACCGGCCCTGGGCTAACATCCCTGCCCATCTTCCTCCGCTTTATATGTGATGCCACCACAGCATGGCCTGACAAGCGGCGCTTCGGTGCACACCCGGGATCTGAACCCAGGCCGCCAGCAGCAGAGCGCGAGCACTTAACTGCTACACCATGGGGCTGGCCCCTCAGTATATATTTTTAAGAGTAAAAAAAAAAAAAAATCTCATAACATTAAATTACAAAAGCATTTAACTATAGTTTCCCCTTAATGGAAAATTTATTTTCTGTTTAGAAGGACTCCTGCTCTTCACTGAAGCTGATTGAAAAGCATGAAACCACAAGCAGATGCCTCTGTATGGGTAAACAGTGGTGGAAAAATAAAGTAAGGCTTAAGAAGTTTCAGATTTAGCCTACTTTTCACAAAATGGTAATACAGTCTAGTATTAGTAGCCAAATAACAAACGAAGGTCATTTTATAATAAGTATTTCCATAATGCAAGACACCACAAGCCATCAAAGTAAAGAGCTTTTACAGGCACTGGTAATATTTATGCATAAAGCACTAGAGAAAGGGTACCTCGGAACTTGGTTTGACTGCAAAACCAAAAGAGTTCAACATTCCTACTGACAAATAAAAACAGTTGTCGATTCTTGAAATGTTTTCTATATGTACAGTTGTCTACAACTACTTCTGAAGGCCTTCAGAAGGAAAAACAAGGTGAGAGACACTTTAGTCCAACATATTTGGTTGAAATACATCAGCCAAAGGTTTACCGGGACTGACTCCAATTAGTAAATTACATATATGTGAAATATCTGACTTTCTGGCATTACCAATGCCTGGTACTGAACAACGAATTGTTTTTATTACAAATATCACGCTCACACACGCACACATACACACACTTCCCTATCTAAATCTAAGGGTAGTAAATACACACAGAGAGCTTGCACCCACACAATGTGAAATGCTGGCTTGGACAATTAATTATAGCAAAAGAATGATTAATGAAGCAAATCTTACAGACCCTCAGCCCTTTTTCTTAAGGACAGACTATACAGGGAGAACAGTGCTGAATTTGACAGATAGGTGCTTCGCCTCTCCATTTTGCCTATGCAGACACGACCACATATAGACACCGCTTTAGGAAATCCTGAGCACTTTGCTCCTGCCGAGGACTACTGTGAACGAACGCTGGGGACCTCTTCACAGAGAATGCTGACTCTGGAACGCAGACAAAGGAGGGTGTAGCTTGGAGAAACCCAGCCCGGCGCTCCAGGGCTCCGGGTTCTCGGAGGCTGCCCCGCACGGCTTCTCTTGCGCTCCGGGGGCTGGGGAGTCCGGAACTGAGGGCGGACTTGGTTTATTTCCCAAACTTCGGGAGACAGTGTCTGCCCTAACTCTGGAGGTTGAAGCAAGGGGAGGGGGGGGTGCAGTTTCGGCTGCAGGGGTTGCCCACCCACCTCCCCGGCCCGGGCAGCACCCTTCCTTCGCCCTCACCTGTCCTGAGCGCGGGGCCTCGGGGGTCCAGTCGCCTCTCCGGGCTGTCCCTCCAGACCCCGTGGGACGTCGGGCGCCTCTGGAGACGAGGAAGGAGGCGGCGGGGTCGGGCGTCAACAGGAACCTGGGCAGCCGCGGGCAGCCGCGATCTCCCTCCCCATCCCGGCGGGCTCGGGCCGCGGACGCGGCGCGGCCACGGCGGGCGATGAGTCAGGAGAGGGGGCGGGCGTCCC